GTGAGATAATGGAGATAATGATGCCATAAATGCATCGCAAATGATGCCATCCCATGGAGTGGTGGTGTGATGTAATTGTTGCATTGATAATGGAGGCATCATTAATGTTGCAATAATTACAAACGGAACGTTGATAATGTTGTCATGCAAATGGTGCAGTGTTACTTGTGTGGCCTTTAGAATTGGGAAAGTGTTGTATGAAGGAAGCGCTAGGTTGTGCCGGGAATGTTTTAACGTCATGCTAAAGCAGGTGCAAGGTAGTCAGTCCCTCTGTGAAAAAATCAAGTTCCTCCCACGGATATGGTTTCGAGTTTGTTTACATGAGTGATGTCAGAGTGAGGTGTCGGTGGTACCGCGTTTCCGTCTCCATTACACAGTGGCAAACAAACAAGTCCTGTGGGGCTCGTTCTTAGGTACACAAACACTCCTCGGGAATGGCAAGTATGTTAATAGACTACTGAGCGGTACTGGCGATGTTTACATGATCGGGGACTTGGCGGGAATGGTATATGGTGGGACCGGCGGCCCTCCTGCTGGGGTAAAAACCACCAAATGAAATGAACATCACTATAAGGAGTAAGATTCTTTGCTCGACGGCAGGGAAGGTCATTCAACATTTCGACCACAGTGTAATGTCCTCGCAGTCGTTGTTAGAGACGAGATCAGGATTCTCAGACGTTTAACACTGATTGTCCCAATCTGAATACAGTACAGTATTATGTAAACCCGTATTACTAACTCACCGTAGCGACGATGTTTTCTTAATTATGGGGAAAGATTACCACTGGAGTCTTTGAGAATGTGAGCGGCTGACAGGTCTCCCGAGTTGCCTCATCGTCGCAGACTGGCGTTATTTTTAGTGGTGGAGGAATGTGAGGGTTTAATGCCCCGTTGATAGAGCTTGAGGTGTTCCTTCCACCGCACTTAATGGATGTGACCGGAAGCTTCTCGCCCAATGGCATATTGACATGGCCCGTCCACTCCCGGCCAGGAAACCACGCTTATTTCTTGCTCAGGGTTCAACAAATGTGCCAGAAATATCTTCGTTTACATGGCGTCCAAAGCTGTCATATTTCCCAAAACACCATAAATATACAACTAGCTTGCGGGCTGCAGCCAGAAACATCCAGGTTAACCCGGGAAATTTGGTAGCTATTGGTTTATGATGCAGGGATAGTAGAGGAACCCTAAGGATTCGACACAAGCATAGCATTTTGTGTCGTTGGTCCCATAATATCAATAAGTGCTTGAAACATTCTATTATGGACATGGATGATTCTGGTAATGCAGGTATTTACTGGGAAGATAACCTGGTGTATCAATGAGTAAAACAAGTGAAAATACTAATAATTATGTTTTGAGAAGATATAATCAAATAAGTAATGTGAAAATGTGAAAAGGAAGTGGAGAATTTAAAGTGTGACCGTATGCGTCAGGACCGAGACGGATTGGATCACGCAGTCAAATAGTGAACATAAACCAGAACCCATTGAAGTGATCGGGGAGGAAGGCAGATGATTACCAACCACCAGAAGCAATAATCTAATGATGCAAGGCAGAATGATGTCAGTGGAGAAGATTAGAAGGTAATCTGGTTGGGTAGAATGTTTAGAAAAAATGTAGAGACGCCAAGTTTCGTTGTAAATCATGAAGTGGAATATTACCTAACTGGATTGGATTTTGTGGGATGTTTACGCCGTGGGAATATTTACTTTGGACAGGAATTTGTAAGATACGTTCATACAGTATAAGATATTGTTTAGTCTTTATATATTCTAACAAATTCTTGGTTATTCGAATATATTAGACTACACTCGATCGACATCCTTCACGTGCGAAAATCACCAATTGATTAATTTAGGAGAGGTGCGGCTGAGAATGACTAAACGCAGCCAAAAATGAACCTTTCCTAACTTTGGATGCGATTCTGTTGAGTGTGTACTACATAATCGTTAAAACAGCGCTTAATGTTTAGCTTGATTTAAAGGTGATGTAATATAACTTAATGGTGAACATCACTGTGTAGGATATTTACTTAGTGAGACCACGTTGAAGGTTTGGTTAATAAAGATTAAAGGTGGTGGTGAGGGAGCGTTGCGCCATGCTTGCGAGACTTGATTGTTATCCCCTTCTCCCCACCGACTCACTCGCTCAGCACTCGCACAAAAACATCATTACCAACAATAGCCTTCATATCCTCACGTTTTGCAATGAAGAAATCGTAAAAGCTTACCGAGAAAAGAAAAAGTCGATTGGAAGAATGAGAAAAAGTTATTAAGACGCGATAAATAAGGATGATGGAGACAAGATTTTTTCTTTGAGTGTAGGAGCCGTCTGCTGGGTACCACACTCTCACCAGTGTCAATCGTCTTTTGTACTTCTAGTTACGTATATTTTGTTTATTGTCGCCAAAGTTAAGAAATTTAACTTGCTTTGGAAACTGGGTGGATATAATGAAAACTTAGGATAACTCATTATGAAATTATTAGCGATAGAAGCAGTTCCAGGTTACAGAGTACCCAGCAGGCGGCTCCTACACTCAAAGAAAAAATCTTCGTCCCCACCCTCTTCTCTTATCGCGTCTCAATAACTTTTTCTCGTTCTTCCAATCGACTTTTTCTTTTCTCGGTAACATCTCAAAGGTAAATTGTAAAGCGAATATTTATTTCTCAGTTATCTTACCCATTTTTATAAGATATATTATGTCACTCCTGTTTGTGATGCACGTAACGATATGAGTTAGATTATTTATAGTTATTATCTAGAGTAGAAACTAAGGTTTAGTCAACAGTATAAACTTCTAGCCATTACTGCTTCTAAATACTTCAACCAACAGAAGCCTAGAAGACACGATAACCTGCAAATTGTGAGAGATCGAGGCTGGTCAACAATTTTCTCAACGTAAATTTTGTCAGTAATAATTTTCAATGGTTATTCAGTTTTAGAGTAGCCTACAGTACCGGTAACATTACAGAAATTGTCTGAGAAATTTATGAATTTGGTCGATTGACAGATGTAGAGAGGATATACCCAGAGTGGGTTGAATTATAGTCTTCCTTTCAACCATTCTATAGCAGTTGTTTTCCTCTCTGTAAATCTACTAATTTCTTCTGTGCTTCTTTCTTCTTTCCTTCGTTTAGTAAGAATTAACAACTGCTTCTGTTGTCGTTGACTGGTTGACATTCTGTTGTTAAAACTACTCAACATTTTCTCCTGATCCTGCAACATTTCCCTACTTATTTTCTCAGCTTCTTCTTTGTCTCAGAATTAGAATATTACATCACGTAATTGTCATCACCGCTCTCTCATTACCACACAGAAGAAAAACTGTGAATTATAGTGAGATAGTTCAAAGGTAAAGGTTTCTTGTTTTTATAGGTACAAGTTTCTTGCGCATGGAAAGAATAAAATTCAACATCCATAGTTTTAGTACGTAATAATGTTAAATTAATGAGAAAATGTAATTCAACTAAAAAAGAATCACTCGTCATAAAATCATCAGCAAAAAAATAGTTAAGCGCGATATTCCGCAGACCTGGCTTATAATATGTGCTGTACTGTACAATATAAACCACCTTCCCATAATCTATAATTGCTGTGCTCCTGAAGCACTTGTAATTTCACTTTACATTGTTTTTGTTCAGTGAAGCCAAGCTTGTGCGCCGTGATGAGTCCGTATGCTTCCGGGGAGTAGTTAACTTTCACGCAAATGTTACGGAAACTTTGTTTAGGCAAAGTCTTTTTTGTGTGTCAGGAATGTGCTTTTCAGTGTTCAGAGTAGAACTTTATTTCCTGGCAACACATGCTTTCCCGCGTCACCTCCTTGGATGATGTGGTTTCACCTACCTGGTGTTTGTTCATGCCGGAGACTTTCTGGTGCGTTAGTGATGGGAGTGTGTGTTTTTCTGGAAGAGTTGTTGTCTTTCCTCCAACACATGCTTTCCCGCCAGTCACCTCCTTAAATCATATGGCGTCAAGTGACCTGTTCTTCCGGGAGGAGGCCATTGTTTCTAGTCTGTCGGGTTCCCTGTGACCACGTTTCGGTTGCTGATATATTCTCATGCAAAGCGTTTGTCGTTCACACTAAGCTCCCTCAGCTGTGAAAGTATCCCACCTAGAGCCTAGCCAAGTTAAACCTTGGCGAATGAAACAATCTACACAAGTCTAACGTAACCCGATTTGATGACTTTATGCACGCTGTCTTGGTGTAGGCCCATGCTGTTGCTGTGTATTGGCACGTTTTTCATAAGCTTTATCGTTCTCCTTGTTTTAGTCTTTCATGGGACGCTGACTCGTGTGTATAGATAGACTCTAGTCGTGGACGTGTCTGTGGTCACCACAAGTGTTCATTATGCACCAACAAAGGAGAGCTTTTAACCAAGACTGTTGTACTGTCTCGACTGATTTGTTGAGCGTGAGAAACCCGCTGAACGTGACGGTCTCTTTCCGCTATACCCCCCCCCCCCTTCTGCAGTACTCCGCGCAACAGGACTCTTCGTTCTCAAGGGCTTGCACGATGTCTTTCTCACTTAATATTAGATAACACATCTAGTTATGGCAGTCTTTCGCCGTTCTTTTCACCGCCAGTATGCGTATAACAAGTGCCACTAATAGAACTCAGGCTCTCAACTGGCTCAGCCGTGTCAATATTGTTATTATCCACTCTGTATCTTTAATTTTCTGGCTAAATAAACTGTTTCATATCAATATATTTTTATTTTCTTTATCTCCCAAGGCAGACGGGAAAAATCTGGGCCCTGGGTGGTAGCCAGATCATTTTAAGCTTAACGTTTATAAAAGAACCTTACCAGACTTGCTAGAAAACAAGTGGATAAGTATTGTCTGTAAAAAGATTTAGATCATATTTGACAGATACAATCCTCTCCTCTGAATACTAAAGAACCAGTTATATTTTGCTACATTTTGTACTACCCTTATTTTTGTGTAGGCTAGTACGTACAAGTTTAGATTAACACACTTTTCTTTTTTTATACTCATAGATGCTGAAGTACGTGCAGGTGTCACCGTACCGCAGCTCGTCGGCCCTGGGCGGGGTGCGACGCGTTGGTGAGGGCTGCCTTAGTGACGACTCAGCCACCCTCTCCTCCCCCTCCACCCCGTCCACCCGCATGTCCTCCGCCTCCAGCCATGCCTTCACCTGTTCCTCCTCGTCGTCATCCGCTGGGTCATCGTCAGCGTCTTCATCTGGATCATCTTCGGGAGGAGGAACGGGACGAGTTGTAGGACGAGCCGATAGTGTCAGCCTCAACTCGTCTATGTCTTGCTCGAGTTTGAGTCAGGACCCACTCAGCTCACGCTCATCGTCGTCTACTTCCCTCCACGACACACACAAGGTCAGTACTCATGACACATTATGGCGCTACTTGAGTACGACTAGACAACTGTTGGAGTAGAATGAGTATTAGCAATAGATCTCAGGTAGATTTAATGTAGATGTCGAGCAAATAAACACAGTGTATGATGGATTATTACACTATTGTCACTGGCTCCCCTCGGCCGTCATATTTCTGTCTAGGTTCAGTCTCGGCTCTTCTTAATGCCGCTCATACATGTGAACAGTGAATAACAAAACACCTCGAAGTTGAACATAACATCTAGAACGGATATCCTCTCCGCAGTTTAACCTGAGCGAGTGTCACTTCCGTACCCAGACAGATGTAAGCATACCGTAAGCTAGAGATGAGGGTATATGTGTACCTGTGATGGTCGGGGCATGTGTCTACCTGTGACAACGCCCTGGCCTACATCCCAGGAGCAGTGGCCTCTACCTCAGCCATCTCCTCTCTAACTTTTCTCCCGACGGAAGCTGTGACACCACCTGTCACCCCACCACCCACCGTCGCTCCACCATCCATTGTCACTCCATCATCCACTTTTACTCCACCGCCCACTGTCACCCCACCACCCACTGTCACCCCACCACCCACTGTCACCCTACCACCCTCTGAGCCAGAATGGTGAATTAATAAAGTGTGGGCGTGGGAGAGACAGTATTGGCTGGTGGGCGAAGGGGAGGCAGCAGGGGTCGGGGTGTGAGGGAAAGGTTCTGTCACTGTCTCTTCCCACGACTGTCGCGGGAGTAGCAAATTTCTCATCATATTAATGGCCGGTCTTGTATAATGCTGTGTACGATTTTCCCACTGCGATTGTGTAAGAAAATGTTCAGTACTTCTTTTATTTTTTTACTGGGATTGTGTTTAAGAAAAGCTTAAAATACTTTTCAACTGGGATTGTGTAAAAGGCCTCAAGAACTTTTTAGTATTGTGCAAAGCTATGTGCTATTTTTACTATATTTTTTTTAAGATTCAGTGTAAAGTATTATTGTTTCTGATGCTGGATTTTTAACAAAACCATAAAATCCTTTTTCCTTAGGAGTTTTGTCAAAAGAAAAGTCCAGAGTACCCTTTCATCCCTACTCGGATATTGTGTAATGAAATTCTTATTATTTTAACCATTCAAGTTGCTGTGTGCGTGACTTCCTTATCGTCTGAGAAAGTGTTGTTGTTACGCTGGTGGCGGAGCTCTCTACTCCTGTTATACTCACGCCCCCTTTTTATATAATGTTATTTCTAAGTAAAAAAAATGCATATTTTAACTTTGGACTGTGGACTCTATCATTGGCCTCCACCAGTTTACTTAGATTCGTTGTTCAGCTTATACTGTACAAGTTGTATGTGTGTACTGTACATCTTTATGTAATTGATTTATATGTACTTATTGTGTCTGACTATCTGCATGACTATGTATTTTGCAGAGGAACTTAACAAAACTTTAAAAGTTATCTTATTAATAAAATAACTAAATCGTGGAATAGAATTTCCGGGGTTGTAATTTGTGATAAAAAATAATCACATTAATGTGTTACCATATTCATGGTAACGAATGATAACAATAATGATAGTTATAATTATAATAATAATAATAATAATAATAATAATAGTGATGGTGGCTATAACAGCAGTAATTATGGTAACATTAATGATAATTACATTAATATATACTATTCTTGGATAACAATAAATACAATGCCGATAAAACTACAATAACAATAGAACTAGCAAGGATGAAAACAAAATAAGAATATCAAAACAATAACATTGAAAATAACAAAACAATGACGATCACTAAGCGCAAATTCCAAGCCGCGTGCGAGTAGTAGACTTGAATAACTGTGACGACGGTCCCGGGTGTTACTAGCGGGAAGGTGCCTCAATGGGGGGTCCTGTACTACATACCTCCGTCACTCAGATACACCGTACTCACGTTGTTATTGTTGTGGTTTAATGACATTTTGTTTTGTGTTGCAGGTTGCGTCGCTGCCGCCCTCCACCACCAAGGTGAGTTGTGTCTTGTTCTTGCTGACTTGTGTGTGTGTGTGTAGTGTATAATAGCATGGGTAGTGTGTGTGTGGCAGTATGTGTAGTGTTTAATGTAGTGGCGATCTGTGTGGTGCACTGGTCAGTATGCTCGCCTAGCAAGCTAGAGTTCTCTGGCAGGGTGAACCACGGGCAAGTTTCTTTACGTCATTTGCCGTGGTCTACCCAGCAGTAACTGGGAACCTGGATGTTATTTGAATTACGGATCATGCTTCGAGGTAATGGTTAACGAGTTGTCTGGTGTTCTTTGACTATTCCTTGACACTGGGTCATACAATTCGTTAAATTTGGGTGTGGTTGTTGTGTTGGCGACAGCTTCTACATCTTAAACAAAATCATGCCTGCATGGTCTTAATGCCGGCCAACCTCGTACACGAAGGGCAACCATTATTATGTCAGACGTAGTATGAGAGGTGTTGCTAGCGGCCAGGAGGTGGCTCCTGTGGTAGCGATCCGCCCTCACACACCGTGGGAGTCAATGTCATGGGAGACAGACCAGGCGTAACGGCACCCACCCACCATGTCTTTGCTGCCTGGGCCTGTCCGGGACTACCCAGGTTACACCACCAGGTTAGGACGTGATTCATCAACACTCCAACCCAGCTTACATTCCTTCCAAGGATATCCTTGTCCCCCTGACACTCCTACAGATAATAGATCCTTCCCTCCAAGACGCACTCCTTCATTAAATGTTCTTCACCATAAGACAGGCTCTTTCTTGAAACATCCTACTTCCCATAACTCTTTTCTCAGACATCCTTCTCCCCACAACACTCATCATTCCACAAACCTCATCTAGTGCTTCCCACCATCTTAATACAATATCTTTTTTAGTAGGTAATGTTAAATGTTTTTAGGGTTTATTGTAAGGGATGAAGCAGTTCATGGAGTACACGTAGGCCCTGGGTGCCTCTAGTGTGTCATGGTGCCATCGTGTGCTAGAGGCCACAATAAACCTTGAGTACCATTGATGGGAGGGAAAACCCTGGCTGTCTCTGAGATGGATTTCGTGGTGCAGGAGGGACGTGGTCCTGACTGAGGGGAGGTAATTTCGCCAGGTCGTGGATGACACACGAAACTATCGCGGTGTGAACTGGTAGATGGCACCCAGGCGGAGGATAATGGCACTGGGGCGTCCGAAGACACCTGTTGACATTTCTGTGGTGGGATAATTGCTGGGAATAGATGTAAGACGATCCAGTCGTTTGCCAGTCTACAGGTTTGTTAGACGTTCTGTGATTGCAGAGCCTCTCTTTACTGCATTATTATTTGTTTTTGATTTTGTGTGTGTGTGTGTGTGTGTGTGTGTGTGTGTGTGTTGAGGAGAGGGAGGAAGAGAGATAGCAGATGAGTAAGCACCCGGATGTGATGAGTTATAACAGTACAGTATTCAAGGCTACACACCATGAAGACTTAACAGCTCAGTGGATCAGAGGACTCAAAGGTATTCCTACTTCGACCCCAACTACCGAGGATGAGAAAATGTGTGAATCACGAACAGGTAATGGCAGTGTTGCCAGGGATCCTTATGGTACACCCGTGAGAAACAGTGACACCAACACAGGGAATTATCCTGCGATCTTGGTGACACCTCTTGGGAAAACTGTGGACACTTTTCCCACAAGACCTGCTGGCATTTAGCTATGTATGTTGGTGTTGGGTGAGCACAGGCAACAGGACTGCTTGAAGGCCAGTTTTTGTATGACTAGACTTGATCTTGTGGTGACATAACCTTGAAGTTTGAACGAGTTTTCTCATGGCAGAAGAACAGGTGTTAAGAGATGAACATAACTCAAGGAGGTCGAAGCCTTGGGGTGAAAATCCAGAAACACAGACATTGCTTCGTATTATGTATTGTTCTCTCCCTCGCTCAGTGGGCGTTCAGGGATTGTCTCTCGAGTTAATTAGACCAGCTGGGAGTATTGTGTTGGTTCTTCAGCTGGGGTTCAATTAAGACTGAGCCGAGTGAAGCGGGAGTGCTGTGTGTGTGAGGACAGAGCACAATTTATCTTGGTGTGTTCTAATGTGTTTTGTTATGGTTTCGATGGCTACTGTAAAGACAATTGTATAGGTTTAGTGCTTTGTCGGGGCATAGCGGATTCTAATAACTCTGATTTTTCTTCTCATGGTGAATTTTAGGCAGTGCGGTTATGTTCTGTCGGGTCATGGTGAGTTTGATCAGTTCCTGGTGGCTTTAGAAGGTTTGGTCTGGTTCTTAATTGGTCGTGGGGAGTCCCGTCGGGTTCTAGTGGGCATAATGGTGTGCGAGTTGGTCGAGTCCCCTTCTGGCCGGTCCATTGGGTGGATCATGTTGCTGGTTTGTATTGCGTCGAGACTGGTCCTGGTTTGTCGTGACGGCTCTGAGGTGTGGAGACTGAACGACAAGATCAACCAGTGGCTTATGTGACCACGGGTAATCTAATCATCTGCACGGCTACCTGACTCGCCGAGGCCTGCTTGACCTGCCCCGACCTGTTTGTCCTACCTTGATTTGGGTGATCTGCGTCCTTCTTGAATTTCCGCACCTTGCCTGACCTTCCTCGTCCCGCTTGACTTACCACGGACACCTGCCCGATCTGTGTGGGCCTGCCTGACCTGCTTCGGCCTTCTCGCTCGACCACTTCAGATGTGAACAATTCCTTCGCGGTTGGCTGCACCCGTGGACAGATCGTGTTAATAGAGAGATTAAATGGAGGCGCAAACACTTTCCCTGTGACTTAACTAAGAGATTAAGTGGAGGCGCAAACACGTTCCCTGTGACTTTACTAAGAGATTAAGTGGAGGCGCAAACACGTTCCCTGTGACTTAACTAAGAGATTAAGTGGAGGCGCAAACACGTTCCCTGTGACTTTACTAAGAGATTAAGTGGAGGCGCAAACACGTTCCCTGTGACTTAACTAAGAGATTAAGTGGAGGCGCAAACACGTTCCCTGTGACTTTACTAGACTCAGTGCGCACACAAACTTAGTATGTTATTAGGCATATTACTAGCTAGGTTTTCCTAAATAAAGTAAACATCGTTTTAGCAAGATGGTGATACGTTGCGTTAACAAATGGACCAAGAGGTTCGACTGTTTTTAGCTAGATTGAAATTGACTGGATAATATCGACAGTTTGAGAAGTTGTCGATTTCTGCGTATTTCTCTTGATACATTTCACTTGCAGCAATACAGTAAAAAACATTCATACTCTACTACTGTAATCTCAGGAGAATTTAGCTCATTACCGTCCAACTTATTCTGTAAATTGGCAGAGCACTGTTTCATCCAGGTACCTGTTGTAATTGCTTTACTGTATAGCTGTTGGACTGTTCTTACTGAAATAACGGTGACTTGACCCTGGTGATGTTCGGGGCTGTTATGGTCCTGGTAGTTAGAGTTATTTCAATCCAACCTACACTTACCTTTACATCATGATATGATTAACCTAACCTAACATAATCTTTGCATCAGGATATAATTAACCTAACCTTTCCAGTACATGATGGTATATTTGGGTTAGTATGGGTGAGGGGAGGAGGATGGAGGAGGGGGTGGTTGAGGGAGGGAGGTGGGTGTGGAGGGGTAGTTGAGGGAGGGAGGTGGGTGTGGGTGGTAGGTGAGGAGGGTGGTGGGTGTGGAGGGGGTGGGTGAGGGGAGGGAGGTGGGTGTGGAGGTGGTGGGTGGGGGGGGAGGGGAGGGGGTGTGGAGGGTGGTTGAGGGAGGGAGGAGTGGGTGTGGGGGGTGGTTGGGGAGGGTGGGTGTGGAGTGGTTGGGGAGGAGTGGGTGGAGGGGGTGGGGAGGGAGGTGGAGGGTGTGGGGGGGGTGGGTGGGGTGGGGTGGGGAGGGGGTGAGTGAGTGTGGAGGGGTGGGTGAGGGAGGGTGGGTGTGGAGGGGTAGTTGAGGGAGGGTAGTGGGTGTGGAGGGGAAGGAGGGAGGTGGTGGGTGTGGGAGTGGAGGTAGGTGGGGAGGAGGGAGGGGTGTTGGTGGCAGGTGAGGGGGAGGGAGGTAGTGGGTGTGGAGTGGTAGGTGGGGGGGAGGGAGGTGGTGGGTGTGGAGTGGTAGGTGAGGGGAGGGGAGGGGAGGGTGTGCTGGTGTAAGTTGAGCTGGGGTGGAGGTGGCCATGCAGGTCTGTTCTTTGCTTCTTATCGTGGGAACTGCATCGTCTTCTTCTCCGCCCTCCCTCCTCTTCTCCGCCCCCACACCCTCTTTTCTTTCTCTTCTTCAGGACTGTGGGTGTAGTAGCGTAGGTGACGGAGGGGGGAGGGACAAGGTGCTGGGTGTGAGAAGAGTGACGTCATAGAGGAAGGCCAAACATCATGTAGATGGGAGAGATGAGGGTGTGTGGCAGCCGGGGTGGAAGGTTGGTGCTTGTTATTGCCTCAAGCATTACAGCCAGTGTATATGCGGTATAACAAATGGAGTTATGCTCATGACAGCCAGAGCGGTGGACGATGATGCAGCTTGTTGGTCTTTCACGCATGGCAGCCTTTGTGACGCTTTTCACAGCTGCTGTAGCGCTAATAGCAGTTGTAAATAGGAGAGGAAGAGAGATGGAGAGACGCGGTGGTGAAAGAAGATTAAAGGAGAAAGGGGATTAATAGCTCGGAAATGGAAGACGTGACGGAGGTAGAAGTTGGCCTAATGGCCGCCTTGCTATTGACTAGCCAAGCATATAGTATGGAGAGCTTATGCATTGGGCTCGTTACTGTAGGTAATCTAAAACTGTTTGTTTGATTGGCTGCCCATTTTTTCGGCACTGGCACTAGACAGAAGCAATGGTGAAGCAGGTGATGAAAGGTGGAGCGAGGCGGGGAGGGGCGGGGGCTGGTTGGGGGCTGGGCTGGGCGGGGTCAGGACCAAGCAGGACACAGGAGGTAGCGTGGGAACAAGAGGAGGAGGAGTATCAGGTGCTGGGCCACGGCGTCACCACCAAGTGCTCTTAATAATTCGCACTTGTTTTTGTTTTTCTCTCAAGGATAA